TATTGCTGGTATCTGGTTTCCTTCATTGCGAATGCAAAGGGTGTCCCGCATTCGCAAAGAGGAAAGTTTGAGGTTGCTGAGTGTTGGTCTTCGCGAACGCGACATGGAGGTCGCGAAGGTGAAGGGGTTGCATGAGGGACCTACGCGAACGCGAAGGGCCAATCGCGAACGCGTAGAAGAAAAGGGGGAGCTGGGCCTGGAGTCATTTAGCTTTCGCGAACGTGAAGCGCCCACCGCGAACGCGAAGTAGTGGAACCTGGAGTCTTCGCGAATGCGAAGAGGAAAATTGAAGGCAGTGCAAGTTTGGCCTTTGCGAACGCGAGGGTATTTTCGCGTTCGCGAAGGAGGGTCGCTTGGGCATTATTCTTTTAAAAATCGGGTTTTTGACTCATTTTCACTTCATTTCTTCCATGAGAGGCGATTTTGGAGCAATTTTGGAGTGTCATTTCCAGCATCTTCTATGGGGTAAGTGATTTTTTCTCATTATGAGTTAAATACATGGTCTGTATATGGATTTAGACATGAAAATTTATAGAAATTGTGAGATTTGGAAGAAAACCTAGAAATATATATTTTTGGATTTTGGCCACGAAATTGGACATGGAATTGGGAATAAATTATATATTTTAGTTCGTAATGTTATGGGTAATGTTTCTTCAAAAAATTTCGGAATCTGAGTACGTGGGCCCAAGGGTGATTTCTACCGACTTTTCGAGCGGAGTTGGGAATTGTTGTAAATAGAATTGTTATGAGTATTAGAGTGTATTTTCATTGGTTTGCACATTGTTTGGCTAGTTTTGGAGCGTTGGGCATTGGTTTGAGGTGCTAGAGTGGCGTTGGAGCCAGTTATGGAATTTCGGAGCGATGTAAGTCTCCTTTCTAACCTTGTAATAGCGAATTAGCCCCATAGGTGAACTAAATTATTATGCGCTTCTATTATTATGTGCTTTGATTTGTGGGGGCTAGTATTATTATGTGCTTCTATTTTGTCTTCTTGAGCCGAGGGTCTTTCAGAAACAACTTCTCTATCCCTTCGGGTAGGGGTAAGGTCTGCGTACATACTACCCTTCCCAGACCCCACTAGTGGGATTTCACTAAGTTGTTATTATTGTTATTGTTGTTGTTATTGTTGTTGTTGTATTTGTGGGGGCTACGTACGCAAGAGGTGATGAGAGTCCGTACGTAGCTACTAGCTATGCCTATGTCCAGGTAGTTTTAGGTTACATCATGCCTTGTTGATATTGTTGTTAACTTATGTTTATTATTTATCTTGAGAAGAAGAGAGATTGTATTAGCTTATTAAATGTTTTGAAAGGAGTTGAAATGGAGGAAAAGTTGGGAACTTAAAAGTTTTCATTTGAAATTCGTAATTTAAAAAGAATTGAGGAATACTTTAATAACTTAAATAATCTATGTGTAACCGCGTCACACGTATGATTCGCGAGCGGGGTATTTCTTTCTACTACTCTTATGGGATCGGGTCGTTCGCCTCGACAGGATTTATGTACCACACTCTCATAGGAGCGGGCCGTTCGCCTCGATAGGTTAATAAATGCATCTATGGTTTGCGGTTCGACTATCGGCAATGCACAGTTTACTTTTATATTGGATCGGGCCGTACACCTCGGCATTTTCTATATATATATATATTATTCTTATGGAATCGTGCGTAACATTTGGCTAGAAGCCAGTATATCTGAGGATTTTTTCCTGATTTGAATTATGACAGCCTTTTGATAATATTCACTATATATATATATATATATATGCTCCGATTACAGAGGGAACTCGCTAGTTGAGAGCTTGAGTAAAATTGTAAAGAGGGAGATTGTACCACGTATTTTATATATGTTTAATTCATATATGTACTTTGTTTCATATTTATTCACTTCCTTATTGTATCTAATATTATTAGACCACTAGTAAGTGTCGAAGTCGACCTCTCGTCACTACTTCTTCGAGGTTAGACTGGATACTTACTGGGTATGCATTGTTTTCGTACTCATACTATATTTGCTGTGCATTTTTGTTGCACAAGCACATGTATGTCTAGTGGCTTAGTGGGCATAACAACATGATTGATACAGAGACTTAGGTGAGCTGCACCTCTCGAGACGACCCGCAACCAGCAGAGTCTCCTTCAGAATATTGTATTTTTTCTTTTCTGTCCAAATTTGTATTCCGGACAGCTATTGTACTTTATTTTATTTCCTGGTTATTGTTCATGCACTTATGACACCGGATCCTGGGGTAATTATGGGATATTCAGTGTTGAAATCGGAAAAACATTATTATTTATTTTATAAAGTTCATCTGTTACTACTTAAATTGAAGAAAATTTCATGATTTCAAAAGTATAAAAAAGAGAATTTAGTTAACTATTTAGTGTTGGCTAGCCTGATAATGGTATCCGACGTCATCACGACCTTTAACGGATTTTGGGTCATGACATTTAAAAATGATCAAATTTGGTTTGGTTTTGGTTTTAATAAAAAAATAACCGAAAAAAATCGAACCAAACCGACTATAGAAGTAGCTATTTCAAATTTATTATTACACCTATATATATGTATATTTTTATACAAAGTTTCTAAAATTTTATGGTACATATTAAACGTTTACACTTTTAGTACAGTTCTAGTTTGATTGGTATTTTCTTTTGGTAAGTGTACGAATCTATTTCATGTAAAAATAATTTATTTTTAATTGAGTCCTTAAATTATTCATCATTATTTGATTTAATTATCATCAATATATCTTGTAAACGATAGATTTCTCAAGGGGCAACTGATTTGATAGTGTTATATTAAAAATGCAGTTGCCGGAAGATGTGTCTGGTAGTATATGTTTTATTTTAAAAAAAGCGATAAAATAATCAAAAAAACCGAAAAATCACAAAATCCAACATAAACTAAATCGAGGAAAAAACGATTTAATCGATGAAAGAATTACAAGAAATACATATGACTTCACACCATAACAAAAAATAACCCATGTTTTTAAGTTTTACCCCACCTAGCCCACATTGTACATATTTTGAAAGTACTTGCAAATTCAAAATATGTGTTCTTACAACCATTGCTTCTAAAAGCTATGAAGTTAATTCGTTGTTCTCACAACCATTGCTTTCACTCTCTCTTCTTCTCACATCTTCTACATATGCTTCAAAGGCCGTGTATTTTCTGCTTCTCCTCTTGTGTCACCTGCTTGCAATGTAAGAAAATTGAAGAGTAGAAGTCCACCATTGAAGACCATTCAAAGCTTTGCTTTTGAAAATGATTTTTTTTGAATTTGTTAGTTGTTTGGATTGGGTGTTGTTCCAATTGGTTGAAAATATCAAAAGAAGTTCAAAATTTAAATTTGAAGTGATTTGGAGTAGATTTGAGCAAGATTTAAGTTAAATTTCAGAAAAGACGCAAGGAAGAAGACGAAATAAATTTTTTGTATAATTATATACTCCATCCGTTTCAATTTATGTGAACCTACTTACTTTTTAGTCCGTGCCAAAAAGAATGACCCCTTTCCTTATTTAGAAACAATTTACCTTTACACAATGATTTATAGCCACACAAAATATATGTGGCTCATTTTACACCACAAGATCAAAAGTCTTCTCTCTTTTCTTAAACTTCGTGCCCAGTCCAAATGGGTTCACACAAATTGAAACGGAGGGAGTATAATCTTGTATAATAGTGTATATGAGTGTAGAAGCACACCTTATACACTATTATACACTTTTATACACCTTTATACAAGCATCTGTAGACGAACTTCTTCCACGATTTTCAGTTGCAATTCTCGTTCAAAACCAGTCCAAATCTCCATTAAATGACTTCAAATTTTATATACAACCTCCTTATACTATTTCTAACAAGTCTAAATAGCACACACTCCAAATTTCTCACAAAATCAAATTCGAAATTTAAACCCACATATTTAAGCTTGTTAAAATCTAATTTTGACCACCCAAATGAATTTGGTTTGTTGAATTAATATTTGAGTCACAGTTACTGATTCAAAAATTAATTTAAAAGCTTGAGGAATCTTTTTAAAAAATTAAATAGTAATTTTGAGAACCTATTTGAGTTGGATGTTAAATCTTAGTCTATTATTTTTGAGCTAGTTGATTGTAAATTGAAATATGAGCTATAAAATTGAAAAGTATGGAGCTCGATTGTTGTAATGTGAAATTTTCCCTTAATTGATTTGATTTGGTTCTAATATTTGAAAAATTAACTTAACCATCCAAACACAACATGAACACCCCTAAAAGTAGGGATGACAAATGGGCGGTGCGAGTGCGGGGCGGTGCAGGTTTAAGGCTATGCGGGGCGGGGTGGGTTTACAGTTATGCGGGTGCTGTGCGGGGCGAGGCGTGTTGAAATACCTTTTCATAAAAATTGATGCGGGGCAGGGCGGGTTGCGGGTCATGCGGGTTTAAGTACATTTTCTTTCTTATTCTTTTTAAGTTCGATGATAACTTCAAGTTATGGTTTTTTATAGACTTTTGCTTCGGAAAGACACATATAATACTCCGTGCTTAATATTTTTTTGATCAAAGCAAACTTTTTTTTAACTTTTCTGTTGAACTTCTTTCAGAGTCAATTTTTTTTAACTGACTCAAACAAATTAGTTTTATTATTGGGTTATACACAAGTCAACAAGGAATATTAGAAATAATATTATAGGAATGTAAATATTCTTTTATAATGAATACTAAATTAATACATAAGGGGTCATCTGCTTTACACAATGAGCAACAATTTTTTTTTTTTTAAATTGAAGAATTAGTACATAAGCAACAAAAAAATTTCAAATTTTTGGTTGATTAAACTGAAAATTTCAGTCAAAATATAAAATAGAAATAAGCAAATAAAATAAAATAAAAAACTTATGCGATGTGTGGGGCGGGTGAAGACTGGTGAAAATGCTACACTAGGCGGGGCGGGGCGGGTTAAAATCTTCGCGGTTTTATACGGGTTAGCCCCGCAACCGCACAGCACCGCTTGCCATCCCTACCTAAAACGAGGGAGTAGCAAATTACACCCCTACAGCTCTTTACTCTTCCTGTCTTCGTTCTTGGTTTCTATAATACACTCTACTTCTCCAAAAGAAAAACGCAATTGTTCCTCGGAGATGGTTTCATACAATAAGCTTTCCGCTTGTTGTATATCTCACGAGTTCTACAAAGTTGCTACAATCAACCCCAATAAAATTGCAGTGATTCAAGCTTGTGGGGGTGTCAAAATCGCCAAAGAATTTCAACTCTTTTGCAGCGAAAACGGTGACGGAGAAACACGCGAGAAGTTTGAAGAGTTTGTATCTTCCAAGACGACGTCGGTTAATCCCCCGGTTTACGAAGGTGATGAGTGCTTCACGTATTCCGATGTTCTGTCCGCCGTTGATTCTCTCAGTTCACGGCTCCGTTGCATTCTTGACGGTGGCGATGACCCTAATCTTCTGAAACCCTCTTCAGGTATAATGCGTGTATGTGTTGTTGGTAAGTGAAATTTGTGATTTTATGGGGGTATTAAGTAATTAACGTAAAGATTTGTTGAAATAGTATCCACGGAGAAAAAAAAAAGATTTGTGAACTATTATCTGTAGACTAATTCTTCTTTCAGCTATAATTTTATATGACGAAGAAAAGATGGTGTTAATGTCTGCAGTAGTAACAGAACTTTGTGATTAACTGTGCTCGGAACTTTTTTGTAAGCCGTGTCGTATTTATATAAATAATAATAAATAAATATTATCTAATATTATTTTCTACCTCTTGGCCAATGGTTTAGTTGAATATTATTGCAAAGGGAGGTGTAGGTTCGATTCTCCTTGGCCTCAAATTTTTAACAAAAATTCTCGCTCAAAGATGTTTAAAAAATAGTGTCTAGGTCCTGTCTCGAACCTACAACCTTTACAAACCCAAATATAAGCTTGGCCAATGGACCAAGAAGTATTCTTTGCCAAAAAGCGGTGTCATTATTATATAATGCTTCATTTTTATAGAATATTAGTATAAACATTGTAATATTTTTTTCCGGGGACACTTCCACCCATGTGCATGCGCCCCTGACTGTGCTCTTAATGAGTTAAGATAATTTTTTCTTCCGTTTCTGTTTACTTTTTAATGGGATAAACCATATTCATGTAATCTGTGAACATGTGCATTTAGTTTAGTTTGGAGAATAAATCTTACAGCTGTGCTTTCTTGAAATTATTTTTGCTTTCTAATTTTCCTCTAGAATAGGGTCAAATTTGCTCTTGTACTATCCAAAATTGAGCAACTTCGCAAAAGTTTAATGGATGGTCCAATCTTACCATGCTACCTGGAAAAGTGTCATTTTTGCCTTTGTCCCCTAACAGAGCTCCAGCTCCAATCTGAGGGTAATTTTAAAGAATAGGCAAAAATTGAGGGCTAAATTTGAATCTTCTTTCTCGAAGAATTTGGACACGTAGAGTCCACCCATCTCATGGTGGAGTTTGTGTTAATGGCAAAGGAAAATACGAGATAGATTTGCTAATGACAAGGGTACGAATGCACCAAAATACGACAAGTGCATGAATGCACCAAAAAGTATAACGGAGAGAAAAAATGAGCAATTTTAGAGAGCACAGGGGCAAATTTAGACCTTTTCCCTTATTTTTATAATTATTTGCTTTGGCTCATGAATTCAACTGCCTCAGAAATTGAAAGTTTATGATTATTTGGGCCTTCATGAATTACAATAAAAATTTGTTTAAATATTTGTTGTAATAGCCAAGTTCTTCTTTTTGTAGTGTGCCATGATCTGTGTTTTCTATGGTTTGTAAAAGAATGTGACAATGTTATGCTTACTTTTTTGAAATCTTTTGGTTTTCTATTGTTGGCTATAGAATCCTTCCACATGTTGATGATCACTTTATGAGTAAACTAATTAGGCATTGCATCTTTTCTTGGCTAGTAGTTAATATGCATCATACTGCAAATAACTGCAGTTCTAAGGGCCAGTCAATCTTGGGGTCTTCTGATCAAGGTTTAGAGCAGTATAAACAGCTCCATAAAACATATTGCCCTAGAATAGTTGGAATATATATGGAACCTTCAGTTGAGTACATTGTTGCTGTTCTATCCGTTTTGAGGTGCGGAGAAGCATTTCTGCCTTTAGATCCATCTTGGCCAAACGAAAGGGTACAATTGGTAATATCTTCTTCAAAAGCTAGTCTTATTGTGGGCTATGGATCTTCTGTTGGTGGAACTTGTCATCAGCTTGACAAATTACAATGGCTCATTGATAAAGGCAGTTATCCTGTCTTTTATATGTCAATGGAGGATTTCATCCCAAAAAAATCTGATTTGTTGTTAGGCTGGCCTTGTGAAAGTGAAAGGTTGAGATCGTTCTGCTACTTGATGTACACATCTGGATCGACTGGAAAACCTAAGGGTGTATGTGGCACTGAAGTAGGTGAGTTGTACATCCTTTAGATTGTTCAACCATTTGTCATCAATTTATATTGCCCCGATACATAATTTATGCTTTTATAGTTTTCGCTTTCCTTTAGGCACTAACTCAATTTGTTTAATCATACGCTTGCAGGTCTTCTGAATCGCTTTTTGTGGATGCAAGAATCATATCCCTTTCAAAAAGAAGAAATCCTTTTTTTCAAAGCATCAATAAGCTTCATTGACCATTTGCAAGAATTTTTAGGAGCTATGCTTGCTAATTGTACGTTGGTCATACCTCCTTTCAATCAGCTGAAGGACACAATATTTTGTGTAGTCAATCTTTTACAGGTATATGCAAAGGGGTATTTACCCTTGAATTTCTTGTTATTTGACAGTGTTTTTAAAAGGGTGTGCATTATTTCTCATGTGGTAGACAACAACATTAAGGGCTTTTGTGTCCATTAACCAATTGCTGTTCTCTTACACCTACAAACATAAAGCAAGTATTTTCGCTCAGGTGCTGCTGGTGCGACAAGTCTTGACTCTTGAGAGTATTGGGTGCTTGTTAATCAAGTAAAATTTATATCTAGATTACTGCTTTGGTGATCACTTAGCTTTTTCTAACATTATTTAGACTTCTATCGCTAGAATGAGCGTGAGTTCCTTGAGNGGGGGGGGGGGGGGTACACCTCTTATGTTCTTTGGAATTTCAGTGTTATATAATCTAAATGACTGTTATTGGTGGCAGTAAGTTGCAAGAAGTTCAAGTGGGTAATGTTTACCTTTTTGATTATGAAATTTTCAAATACTGCATGAATAAAGCTCTGCCTATTCTTGGTAGATTTCTGGCACTGATAATGTCATTGTACCAAAATTATCAAGCTACCTTTATTCAATGGATTTGTGGTTGGTCAATAACATGCTTTGGTCTTGCTCTGGTCTGGCCGTCTGGATCGGGATTTTTCTTCTTTTCTTTTGCATTTCTGCTGCCTGCCTTGGTTCTTGAACCTCTTTTCTGGCTTGCATTTATCCACTGATTTCTCTTTTGAAACAAAAAATTGAGCCACCATTCTTTCCCCTTGAATCTTGATATAGAGGAAATTCCATATATTCTTTTGGGAAAAGGTCAAATTTGCCACTGCATTCGAAATTGAGCACCATTGAAAAAAGTCTCGTTTTTGCTCTTGACCCGTAATGTAGCTCCAACCCGAGGCTAAGTTTAAAACTTAGTCAAAATTAGAGGGGTAAATTTTCACCTTTTTTCTCGAGGTATGTTGACATGTGTTGTCCACCCATTTCACTCTAAAGCTCCCTTAATGAGAAGGGCAAATACAAGATGATTTGATAGCGGCAAGGATGTGAATGGACCAAGGTATAACAGAGGATCAAGTGGAGCAATTTCGAATTGTATAGCATCAAATTTGGACCTTTTCCCTGTTCTTTATTCCTTTCCGTACTATGAGAGCATAAAAAATTCAAAAACTTCCATTATTTTTTCCATTATTTGTCTCAGGAGTACACTATGAGCAGGCTCGTGGCAGTTTCATCTCTTATAATGGCGATCTTCCTGCTCTGCAGAGCATATACTATTCTAAAGTTCAGATTTCCTTAAAACTTCTAGTGCTAAGTGGTAAAAGTTTTTGATATGTCGCTGTGGAAGATGCTTGTCAAGTTGCTTACCCAGACTTCTGTTATTCCATTATTTTTTCCATCATTTATCTCAGGAATATTCTATTAGCAGGCTCGTGGCAGTTCCATCTCTTATAAGGGCGTTTCTTCCAGCTCTGCAGAGCATATATTATTCTACAGTTCAGATTCCATTAAAACTTCTGGTACTAAGTGGTGAAGTTTTTGATATATCGCTGTGGAAGATGCTTGTCAAGTTGCTGCCCCAGACTTCTATTCTTAATATATATGGAAGTACAGAGGTAAATTTCCGTCTCTTTACTTTTGGGTTAATCAAGTCCTTGCAAGTTCTAATACTGAATCACTTGGAAGGAAAAAAGCTTCATGTTCCTTTGTGTTTTTCTTTTTGATCACTTATGTTCTTGTAAGTTCTAATGTTTGGACCGCTCGAAAAGAGAAGCTTTGAGTAATGCTTTCTCATATCAAACAAGATGCCAATTTCTATCCTTATTTTCTTCATCCTTTTATTTGTGCCACCTTCTCTACTCGATAGAATCACTTTAGTTTGGAGTTTAAATTGGGAAACTTATGTTAGTTCTTGAACTTTAGGTTAAATTCAATTTCTTAGTACTTGTGACCATAGTCAGTGCATATTAGCCTTTAATCTGTGTGATCTGAGTTTTATGTTGGTGCTCTACTTTTTGGTATACGTCTTGTATACGGGAGATTTTCCATATTAAATGAAATAATTTTACCTTGTCTCAGTGTTGTCAAAGGCGGGCTTAAGCCCTGAAGCGAGGCTCAAAACATGTTGAGCGCTTCGCCTCGCTTTGTGGGCGCTTTAGTGCCGCATCAAGGCTCTAAGGCATACTTTTCCTTGCCAATGAGTGTAATCCTGAAAATGCGACATTAAACATTTGATATTTCACTTTTTCTATACTTTTCCTTGCCAATGAGTGTAATCCTGAAAATGCAACATTAAACATTTGATATTTCACTTTATCTTAATTTTTTTTTTTCAATTTCATTGTCCACATATTTGTTATTCATGCTTATAATAATTAGTCTTGGACTATATGTATACATATTTTTACTTTTTCTCCAGTTGCGCTTTTTTTCATTAAAGCCCACGCTTTATTTGCGCTTTGCGCTTAAAGCCCCAATGGACCGTAGAGCTTTTTTGCGCTTTTCGCCTTTGATAACACTGCCTTGTCTAAAAGAGTGTTTGTGATTTGAGCTAGTACTCTCCTTACGTCACCTATCATTTTAATCCACTATCCTCTGTAGTCTTCACTAATACTTTGGATTTTTGAAGTAGCTTACGTCACCTATCATTTTAATCCACTATCTTCTCTGTAGTCTTCACTAATACTTTGGATTTTTGAAGTAGCTTACGTCACCTATCATTTTAATCCACTATCTTCTCTGTAGTCTTCACTAATACTTTGGATGTTTGAAATAGGTTTCTGGTGACTGCACATATTTTGACTGCAAGTGGTTGCCCCCAATGTTGGAGCAAGATGCACCGGGTAGTGTTCCAATAGGCATTCCCATTGGAAATTGTGATGTGGTTCTTGTTGGGGAAAATTCTCCCTATGAGGGTGAGATATGTGTCAGTGGAAGTTGTGTTGCTGCTGGATACTTTTGTCATCCTTCTATTTTCCCATTGGATAACGTTGAGCTACATCAAGAGGTAGCTGATGCTGAGAACGATAAAAATGAAGTGAACTGTTACTTTAGAACTGGAGATTTTGGCAGAAAACTTTCAAATGGTAACCTGGTGTGTATCGGGAGAAAAGACCGCTCTGTAAAGATCAGTGGGCAGCGTATTGCTTTAGAGGAGGTTGAAAGCGTTTTGAGGGAACACCAAGAAGTAGTTGATGCTGCTGTAGTTTCTCGTTGTGTTCAAGGAGATATTTTACTTCTTGAAGCATATGTACTGCTCAAACAAAAGGAAAGCAACCTTGAGTTCTTCAGGTCCTCAATTAGATGCTGGATAGCCAGCAAACTTCCCCTGATAATGGTTCCTACTCGTTTCTACTTTGTTGAATCTTTTCCTATGTCTTCCTCAGGGAAAGTGGATTACAAGAACTTGGCCACTTTAGCTGCTTCTGAGGCAGGTAGCCGTATTGAGATTGAAGAGACTCAAGATATCGATCTCATTAATGTTATACAGAAGGTATTTAACTAGACTTCAGCTTTATTAAAGGTTGTGATTCTGTTGTAATATGGGGTTAGCAATCTTGATTTCAATTTTCATGCTTCGATTTTCATTCAGTACCAAGTCTGCCGATGATTAAAATGTGATTTTTTTGGTTAGATATATTACGATGTAGATGTGAAGAAAAATCACGTGTAGATTGTTAAGATCATAGGATGCCTAGATAAGTTGCTAAAAGTTGTTGTTAGCTTGTATTTTCTATGCTGGATACTATATACTTCTTGTTTATGGGAATTCACTCCCTTCTTGAGCAACTTATCAGCTGGTGTCTCAGGATGGAAAGTGTGCCACATAAATTGAGACAGGGAGTATTATATAGTTTGGCTTATATTGGGTGTGGAGAAGCTGATTGGTGAAACAGCTATTCAGTTAATGAAGATATTTTCTATGAAAGGTGGTTAGCTTGGTAAAAAAAATGTACTCAAAGAGTAATTGAAAAGATATTACAGATCTTGAAACTTTTGTATGTTCTGACACTTTTGGAGCATGACATTTCAGTTAGTATAAATAGTGCTCTTTGTAGAGAATCACCTTTTGTATAAGCTTCTCTACCTTTTGCATACAAACTGTCCTATGCAGGGGTTTTCTCAACATTTTAACTGAATGACATTTTTTATTATTGATTATACCCTTGCAACAAGCTAACTGGGATAAAATTTCTTTTCTTGCAAAAGCTAGCTTTCACTCTTTCGATAGCATCATGTTGAGATGTGTATCATGTGTTATAAAATTCCCTTTTTATTTATGTAAAACAACTTATTCGTTGATATCTGTTAAGAGAATCCTTATATTGTAATATGTAAAGGATTCCAAATGCCAGACCATGTAACTGGAAGAATTATAGGGTTTTAATTTATGCCTTCTCTCTCTTTCAGGCAACTTGTAAACACCATTTAATTTGCAATATCTTGTGGGAGTAATCAACCGAATTAAAAAATTACTTGAAGGAGTAATCAGGTTCAGTGTTGTCAAAGGCTCATTTAAGGCGCGCTTAAGCCTGAAGCTCAGAAAAGCTCAGGGAGGGTGCTTCGCCTCGCTTAAGCTGCACTCTAGTATAGGCAAGGCACTAAGGCGTGTGCCTCATTGCCAATGGGCTCTATCTTGAATCGAGTGGTCCTAAACAACAAATATTTATCGGCAAATAAGTTTATAGTTGTTAAGGAAAACATTAGGAATGAATTTGTTTCTTTTATCTTAAATGACATATGAGTTTTTAATTTTTTTCCTTAGTTGCGTCCTTTTTTTACTAAAGCCCGCACTTTAATTGCGCTTTGGCTTAAAGCCCCAATCAACATGGAGCGCTTTTTAGAGCTTTTCGCTTTTGACAACACTGATTCAGGTTGTGTAATGACAGAAAACCTGTTTTTTTGTCCATTTTCTACAATATCACGCCAAGATTGTGTCAAAAATATATACAAGTTGTGCAAATGGATTAACCACATTTATCTATCAAGCTGTCCCAACTTTCTATATATCCTTTACCACCAAAAAATAGATGAAATGAAGAAGCTGTCTTTATAACATGATTGTTTTGCTTTCGTGGGGAAAATGAGCCGTAAATCCTCTTTTGCTAATTCGAAGTCTTTCCTGCTATTTGGTTAATAAAGTGTGAAGCTGCGGAGATTTGACAGCTGATTTATCTACTTGGAAAAAGGGTGGTAAAGGGAATTTATCTCATCCCAAAATAAGGGGGTGGTAGAGGGGGTTCATATATGCCTTCAGGTGCTCTAGACCCAAACTGGTACACCTCAGCGAACGAGGCATGATTCCAAAATGTGCAGCCTTCAATTAACTCTTGAAGTATGCCTTGAAATCTACTCGTGGAGCAGTGGTGTGCTTTGATGGTGTTGTAACTTAGCTACAATACAAATAATGAAGCTAATCTATGAGAAAGGAGGAGTGGTTGTAGACTTTAAGTAGTACTCTTGAACATTACATGCTTCTTCCTAAAGTTGACCAGTAACTGACTCATTATCATTGTTAAGGTTAGCTGTTGAATAATGAATGCGTGCTGTCATATTGTCGCGAGCCTCTTGTTCTCTAGTCAATATTATTTTCCTTCCGGTGTTTGTTTTCTAACACTTCCTTTAACTTTGATTGGACAGGCTTTTTCTGATGGTCTGATGGTTGTTGACAAGATTTCCCTTGATGATAACTTCTTTGAGATGGGTGGCAATTCTCTATCAGCAGCTTATGTCTCCTATAATCTAGGAATTAATATGAAGGACTTGTATACTTTTCCAACTCCTTTGAAACTTCAGAAGGCCATTCTACATAAAAAAGTGTCCTCTAGCCGTGAGCTTAGAGCTGATGCTTTAGTTGGAGTGAACTCGCAAGTTCAAGAAAAAAGCAAGCTTCCTTCTAATAAATCTTGGATGCCCGATCTTGATAGCAGTATCTCTTTGAGTTTGACAAGTGATTACCCCATTAAATGTTTGAAAACGGATTCAGATTTGTATATTGATCCCTATGATTTTAATGGAAGAGATATGAATAATTCAACTATGACAAAGGTTTCATGTTCCTACAGCCGGTGCAACAAAGTAAGGCATGACGCCAGATGTGAGGGTTACCATTGCCGATCCGTGTTATCTTGGGAAGTTCCACGTGATAAAAGAGGTCTCATGCGAGAACGGTGGATGGTCTACATGGAGTCTTGTGTTGATGCATCACCACTAGTTGTATTTAAAGAAAGAAGTGCTTATCTGTTTGTCGGAGCTCACTCCCACAAATTCTTGTGCATTGATGCAACAAGGTAATGCTGCATGTTTGTCTAAGATGATTGTGATTTTGAAAATCAAGAAAAAATTTAAAAAGTGCGTGAAGGACAAATTTCTTACATATGAGTCCTACATCCACTTGGTTTAGCTGAGGATGGGATATGTTGCCCTATTGGTCTCCATACACTATTAGACAGTTTTGATCTAGGCTTTGACCCAAAAAAGAAGTTCTCTTTGGATTGGAATGTCTAAATATGGACGCATAGACTAAACTTGATGGGATGCATTGTGGAAAGCTCTCTGTTATTTCAGTCATATCACTGCAATAGTTCGGTAGTATCACGCTTTTTTGGATAGAAGGTTACATTTCTGATATGGGACACTTCTACGAACTTTTTTAACTACATAAGTTTAATTTACTTCATAGCTTATCTAACAAGATAGTACCTTGACGATTTTCCATTCCTTCTTGCCGAGCCGCCTCTCTTCTCCATTTGATGCTTCCGCCTTCCCTTTGTATGACATACCCAGGCGCCCTCCTTTCCAATCACTAAGAAAAAATAAATACCAATCAAAGCCGGAGTGGTGATTATGCACCCATAGCTTATCTAACACTCTCATTCAAGTTAGTGCATACAAATCGTATGTAATGAGCTTGTTGCATATTCCTTTCGTGCCAATATTTGTGACCCTCCTTTTTTGCAATGTCCCGAAGTATTTGACTCTATTTCATGGTTTTGCATGTTTTAAAGCGTAAGAATTCAAATTCAATTACTCAAATTTCTACATAATGTGATGTGTCTGGCGTTGATACCATGTAAAAGAAATGGACCTTGAGCCTAACTCTACTCAAAAATCTAGTGATGAGCTGAGAATTACCCAAATACCATATAAGGAAGACAAGAATGCTACCCTTAACCAATGTGGGACGCTAACAAATCTATATAAGTTACCAAGTCACAAAAGTTATGGTTCGATGTTCAGCTTCTCCACTAAATCTTACTGTCACATTTTATTTCTACTTATTGTAAAGATACCAATTTATGTCAAACAAGAAAGTTGATTGGTTGGTAGGCTTTCTGTTAGAAGGAGATCGTGCCTAATCTATATCTATATGCTTAACATGCATAGGTTGACTTCGGTAAAAACCGAAACATGAAATAAAGATGGTCTGATTATGAGAAACCTGAAGGTAATGCTAGAGCACTTAAAGACTTGTTCTGGTGATCGGAGAAGCTTGGATATCACTTGTGGTAGGATTCAAGTGTAGGTCGTGCTTTAGGATGTTTAAAATTGTAATAAATTGATCAGGAAGTGAGGATACCGAGATTTCCTGGTGGCACCCTAACCTTAAGGTCCTTGGTTAGTTTTATTGCGGTCACATTAGTCCACAAGTGCAATGGATTGTCTTAGCAGAAAGAATCGACTCCGATAGATCCAAGAGAATAACCATCTCTTGTTCAGTACTTCAGTTGGCAAATAGGTGCTACATGTGTCAGCTCAACTCAGAGTCGGTTAACCATCTGTTACTACGCTGTACAGTAGTTGCAGATCTTTGGAACATGTTCCTTGCACTTTTTAGAATCAGTTGGACAGTCCCACAGAACATTAGGGATGCAGCAGTTAGCTGGAGCCTCTGGGAAGTTGATAGATCCATCAAGAAGATCTGGCAAATGATCGCAGCATGTATTTTCTGGTGTATCTGGACAGAGAGGAATCGTAGATGTTTTGACCTATGTTGCGCGGACTCTCCAAAATGTAGCCGCACCCGTGTCGGATCCTTCAAAAATGCACTACTTTTGGAGGATCCGACACGTATCCGGCCACATTTTCGGAGAGTCCGAGCAACATAGATTTTGACGGCGTTTCAACTTCCAACTGTAACCTGAAGTGTAAATGTTGATGAGTCTTTTCAGCTGGAGTAACCTTTCCCCTGTTAATGATATTATTCCCCTCTTAGATTTCATTAGCTCTCTCTCAATGGTTTAGTAGCCATTGTCTTTTGATCTAGGTTAACTCCCTGCTCTAGAATGGTTTTTTGTATTAAGAGTTAACCAAGTTTTCTATTGTAACCTTTTGCATCTTCTTGATGCCTATAATGCAATACCTTACTTCATAAAAAAAAGAGATTAGCAGAATATGGCTAGAGCTGGTCATGCGCGCACTGTGTGAGTGTGAAGGGCATGTGGGCCTCTAACAAAGATGCAATATCTTGGTTTCGTTCATATGATTATCCTGGTGATACTGATTGATACGCAACACATATGAGCAACAAGAAAAGTTTGGGACAACTGTGATGGTTGTCGTGGAATGCATGGCCACGAGATGTTTCTTCTCCTCCTGTTGCAAGTGAATGCTCAACTAATTTTACCAAAAGTCTGATACCATGTGAAAAATAAGAGAAAGATAGGAAGAATTTGTGAAGCAGCATGTCATGCGACTGATCCTTTTAAATTCAAACATTTCAAGGTTTATGGTTATACTTCTTGCGGCTTCGATACACTTTTTATATATTACATACATCTAAGTCTCATGTATTTACATAACTTATCTAACATTGGTTAGCGGATTTTTCTCATGAAGTTAACATTATGTGTATAACTGTGGTTATTTATTGTCATTTTCTGCTGTCACTTATGTCGATAGTATGAGAGGCTTTTTGGTAATTAAGTACATCCCATCTTGAGTGAAAGCTTCTCATTGCTTTTTATTTTACATTTCTGTGTGTATTGTTTGCTTGTGATTGTTCCATATTTGCAATTTGTTATTCAAAATTTGGTTTTGCCTACGATCGTGTATGCTTGGTCGTTTTGGTTTACCTTTGCCATTGTTGCTTGAGCTGTGAGAAAGGTGACTTCCTTGTGGACTAGTCCAAGCAATGCTTACTGTGGATGGCTGCATTGTTGACTCAGTTCTTATTTCTCGACCCTAGCTTTCTGTTTCTTTATCGATAGATGGGCAATTTTATGCTTAATTTGAGATGGTTTTCTGGCTTGGTTGATGAAAAGCATCTGACTATACTACTTCACTGCAAATGTGTTTAGTGGTCTTGTTTTGTGGGAGATCAAATTAGAAGGACGTGTTGAGAGTTCAGCAGCAGTTCTACATGACTTTTCTCAGGTTATAGATGATAACTTTTTTCTATCGTAGTTTTCTAGATTGTAAGTTTTACTTCAGCTGATAGGGATCTCACTTACAGGTTGTTATTGGATGTTATGATGGAAATATTTATTTTCTGAATTTTTCAAATGGCATCCCTTGTTGGAATTTTCAAACACATGGAGAGGTATGATTACATTTACTGTATTCAGTAATTATAGTATGTTGATTACCTTTTCCATTGCACTTCTTGATTATGATAGAAAGATACCATAATTAGAGAAGGGTTTAGCTTGATCTATTAGGCAAGCATTAATATGATGCAGTTTAGCTGCCACAAAGGCCTAAACTATAATAGTTATCGCTTGTCTGCCAAAAGTGCTGAAGGATTAATAGTGGCGACTTTAACCATTACTTTAGAAGTATTATTGATGAGCTGTAACACTCGTTACTTCGAAACTGTAGGTTTAGTATTTAATTTAGGATTTCCTGTCACAAAGGCTTCCTTGTTATTTTAGGATGTCTGTTATTGTGTTTACTTAAATTATTACTTGGGTAACAAGTTTGTGGAAGTCAAGTTTCCCTGGATTTAGGGTTTTAGGTGTTGGAGTTTCTAAAATTTGTATATCTTGGAGAGTTACATTCATACGTTTATACAGTATTATCAAATAATTTCAGAAGCTGCCTTTTCCTATCTCCAGACAATAGCATTTTAAGACCTTGCTGCTTACAAACCATTAAACCTAAGGTTAACAGAGGAGCGACAGTAATAATGTGATCGCATATTGCCTAAAGTATTTGTTTCCCTCGAAGTATTTCATGTCTGGAAGTGTGAAGGGATCAAGGAATCCATGGCCTGCCCAATTCAATCTTTTCTTTTTGGGTGAACCTTCCAAATTCAGTCCCTGTACAAAAAATACAATATCTACAGGAATAGCCTGAATACAGTTTTGTAGAGTTTGTGGGCTTGGATTTCAATAAACACTGATCATATCTAGACAGCTTCCTTTTTTTTTCTTTTTTCTTTTTCCTTTTTCTGTTAGAATGATGAGTTTTATAGAACAACATATAGTTTGGTGCAAATCTGTTAATTTGGGCCTTGAACTTTTGTAGTGATGGGAAAATGTAAAATATTTGTGCAAGGTGAAGTTGCCTGGTTGCTTTGGTTCATAGAAAATAAACATAATATGAAATGCCAGGTTTCATAGCCAGTAAAAATTATTTAGTAAAATTGCATTTTTAGTGCCTAATTTTTACAGGTAGTGCATTTCTGTTCTGCTTTTTTGAGTTTGTAAGTACATTAGCTTTAACATAACATGCAAAATACGATGTCATCCTAATTGTTGTAAACTTTTGGGTGGAAAAAAGAGAATTAACCTATTTGTAATCTTTTAAGCGTTCCAAGTCTGTTTTCACTTGTATATCCATTTTCTTTTTGTGGATGGAGTCATCAATTAAAGCCAAACTTCTAGTACGTATTCAGTTCCTCTTAATATAGTATCGTGCCTTAGTTTTTGTCTTAACATATGTATGGTAAAAAATGAGTCTGTTCTTTTATGTAAAGTAAAATCTATCTCAATGATTGTAATTTCGCTTGATTTTCAACTGAATATTAGATAATCAAACAAAAGAATATTACAATCCTGTAGATTTTTTTTGTTCAATTTAAGAGGTGTTTTTTTTTAACTACAGTAGAATTTTGATTAAATAGCACAGAAAAGTTTTTTCAAGAATGAGAATTTTTACTGGTTTCTTGAGTATTTGTTAATTTTTTTTTCTTTTGAAAAGTCATGTAATTGAGATAGGATCTCAATTTACTTTAAAATTCACTTTTCATAAATATTTTAAAATAAACTAAGGTGTAATAGTATATCAGAAGGATTGTTTGCATTATTAGAGGTTTGACGTCAATTTGTATAAAAAATGTGTCATATCCAAGACGCATAAATTTTTATATCAGGAAGTTACCACCGTTAGGATGAGATCCAATCTTTGCACTTAAATGTTCAAATTAAGGTATTATGTGCATAATTGATAAATTAAGACAAAAAATGCACAACCCTTGAAATCTAGGTACCAAAGATGCAGTTTTGACTTTTAAAATTTATGGACTCTTGTGTTATTACAAGAGGTGGATATTAATCATCCATTGGTGATTGTAGACCAATTGAAGGGTAATTTACAAAAGGTAGTTGATATTAATCATAATAGTCTGTTGGAAATTAGCTTTCTTTCCTGTTTACTGAATTTTTTTTGTTGACTGTTGTTGGACATTTATTTTGTGCTCAACTTCTGAAATTTTAAGGTTAAATCGCAGCCAGTTGTTGACAAAGAGAGGCACTTGGTCTGGTAATTTTTCTGCTTCTTTATCCTGGTTGATAAAACTTGCAAACATTTTCTACTACATCTGAAGCTTGTCTATTTCTTCTATTCTCGTGGCATATCAGTGCATATATGCCCTTTTTTTCAACTTCGGAGAGGGGGCTTGGGAAGGCAAAATCCCAGTAAATACAGAAAAGGAATGGGCGTTGTTTTGCCTTCTTAATGTCCTTACATTTCTGGAGATTTCATTTGATTCTACCTCACCTGAAACGCCTCATGTTACATGTGTTCTTACAATGTCCTAATGATCTCATTCTCTAAATTCATTTTGTTGCATTAGCAGCTGGGTGCTGTTACCTATCACAGAAAAGCTGGGGGAGCAGTACAGCTAGGTTCCATTGTTTCTATGCCCGCCCATGTATGCTGTGTTGACTTCTTAGAATTACTGAGAGCCCATGGTGCTTTTTGGATCTAGTCTCTCAACTGTCCAAGTGCCAATTGACTCCTAGAGTTATGGAGAGCTCATGTTGCTATTAGAGAAGTCTTTCAATAGTCCAAGTACCTTTTAACGTCCTAGATTTACCAAGATCTCATTAGTCCAAACTTAGAATCTAAAGAGAAAATGAAGAAATTTGGCATGATCTACCGATGAGAATAAATAGATACATGTGCTCTAATGGTTTTTTGTTGATCGGTTCCCCAAGTTTTCTTGCCATCTTGATACAGTTAGCATTCTTTTACTGCAACTATACTACTCATTCTTTTGTCTTCGTATAATTGACTGCAGGTGTGGATCGCACGACCATAATCTCTATGCCCTTGATTATGAGAATCAGTGTTGTGTTTACAAAATCCGATGTGGTGGTAGCATATTTGGTGCACCTGCACTTGATGAGGTGGATCTGAATGTCCTTCTTAGTAGATAGACCCATTCTTTTGGAATTTTCTGGCACTTCGCATAACATGTTAACTTGTGGCTGTACATGTCTTAAAGGGCTAATTAGCAAAACCTTCCGTGAGATCTACGAGAATGATTTGCTTTTATGCCCTCATCACATCTTATGTCTTCCATCTCAACAGAATTGCACCCCAATGAAGCGATTTTCATTAGATGTTTGGTCAGATTACCTTATATTGCACGTTATTATATGCTTTTCCTGTATACCAGACTGTTTTGGAACAATTATATTTACCACTTTGCAACGTCTCAGCACTTAACATCGATCTTCTGCCTTCTTTAAGCAACTTGTTCTTCTTATATTCTTAACCTTTTCTTTTAAAAAACTTTGTAGGTGCATGAAAAGCTCTATGTGGCATCCACTAGTGGCAGAGTAACAGCTTTATTTGTCAGGGTGCGGAGATGTATTTATATTTCTTTTAAATATGTTTCTCTTATTTTTCCTATGAAATATAAGTAATGATCGACCAAGTGGAAGAAAAGTAATTCGGGGCCATCTTCATCTCATAACTCGTACCTCTATGACAATTTGCACATTTTGTAGATTCATAGGGCAAATTGTTTCGGCCATTAAATTTAATTTCCTGTTGAGTATTAGAGAGATCTCATCTTCTGCTAGATAATAGTAATAGCAACATTTTTCGGTGTCCAAAAATTTCATACTATCATCTATGGTCCATGTTAGCTCCATGCCCTTGGTCACATGGCCTTATATGTTACTAAAATAGTTACTTGCTTTTATGGTTAAACAATAAGTGTATATGACATGTGAAAGCAGATAATCTAAGCTGTAGAAAGAAAATGAAGATTTTATTTTACTGGCTGCATTTTTGGTAGTTCTGTTCTGTATGATATGATTTGGTCTCATTTTAAGATGCGAGGTAAGATCATAAGACCTTGCCAGAAACATCGTCTCCATTATGTGAAACATACCATTAAAGTAGTACCAGAGGTTCCTATAAATATAGAAGATTGGGTATCATTTGTAGGAAGCCATATTTTTGGTAAGATTTTCTACTTTTTGGTATACTTCTTGTATACGGGTGTCTTTTGCCCATCACTAATAAAATTTTATTAATTTATTGAAAAAACGTAGTACCAGATTAGAATATTGGCTATTTTAAAGCTAGGCTGTTTGCTAAAAGATATATTTATATATATATATATATATATATATATATATGTGTGTGTGTGTGTGTGTGTGTGTGTGTGTGTGTGTGTGTGTGTGTATGTACGTTATAGAATTTGAGATAGAATATCTCTCTAGCCTAAGGCTCTTCTTACCATCCTTGGTCTTCTTTTCCTTGCCAACATCTCCACTCTGGGGTGGGATGGGATATGTATTGCTCCACGGTATGAGCATAAGCTTCCTTTGTTCGCGGCATCCAAGCATTACCTTCTTATACTTTCGTAATATTGCTAATATTTGCTTCTTTGCAAGCCTGTTAAGCAATTCTCTCTCTGCAGGCTCTTCCATTTTATCAAATATGGGTACAAGAATTGGGAGTTCCTATTTTTGGGTCACTTTCAATCAACCCTTCATCTGGAAATGGTACTTGTTTTGTGTCATTGTCAATTTATCCTGGTTTGCTATATATTTTTCCGGAGTAGATATTGAGCAGAATTGGCTGATTAACATTTTGGTTGGTAGGGGTCTATAAAGGCATCCAGAGCTGTGTGTAAATGTTTAGGGCTACAAAGAATAAGAGTGTGCTAAGTTATTGATTGGACAAGTTTATTCATATTTGTTATGATTTAGAGGGTGTTTGGATTGACTTATTTTAAGTGCTTATTGACTTTTAAGCACTTTTTTAGTTTGTGTGGTGTTTGACAATGATAAAAAGTGCTTAAAAGCACTTACATTTAGGCACAAAAAGTACAAAATAAGCTAAAAGCCAAAAATTGGGTATTACCAACTTATGGCTTTTGGCATTTAGCTTAAAAGCTACTTTTTATAAGCCAATCCAAACACCCTCTTATTTTTATGATGTTATGCATTGTTGTCTAAATTTTGGATGATTGGTAGTACATGCTGTTATGGTGTGTGTTTCAGATGTCAAATACATAACTTAGCTTGTGGTGTTGCAGTTATATGTTGCACGGTGGATGGAAGTGTTGTTTCGCTGGGCACTGAGGGATCTGTCATCTGGAAGGTAGAACAATATTAATTTCCTTGAACTCCACACGTTCCCTCTTGTTACGTGGATATAAGGAGGATCATTTTTTTTTTTGTGGTGAAACTGAACTAGTTAAAACCTGCACGAAATAGGCAACTCCAAATAGAAGAACCAATGCACCTAAAACGAAGCATATTTAGAATTTCATAACTTTTCACTTTAGAATCTCAAGCTCTCAGGCACACTCCCAGAGGAGCCTGAGTACAAGAATTTTTAGCTTTCCATGAACACCATTAGACAGCCCTCGAAATTCCGACCACTCCACTGAAATTTTTCCGACGAAGCAGCCTCCACGCGCGGCACTTTCCGGCGACCCAGTCACCACGCGCCGGGCGCGTGAGCCAATTTCCGGCAGCTTTTCAAATTTTTTTTTGGACAGCTTCCTGTACTGCTAATTCCGACCAGATCGGTACAATTTTTTCAGATTTCCGACGACTTTTATTTTTCCGGGAGCGGGAAACCTCTGTTTTAGCCCAAATTTCAGTTTCTTTTACCTCAACTGTGATGACTATCAAATACTCCTTATAATTTCCATAACCTGAACAGCTGGGTTGTACAATATGGGAGACAACCGGATTTATTTCAACGTAGGATTCAAATCTTTTGACATCACCAGATGGAATTCCAACAAAGAGGTATGGTTCGAATGGGTGGAGAGAAGCCGCAGCATGATGAGACGTTCATCCATGGGCAGAAAGGTAATGGAATGGATTTGTTTTGTACTTAAAGAAGCGTCGAAAGATCAAATGAATTTAGTGAAGCGATGGAAGTACAAGGAACATATGACAGAACATTTCTGTACCAGGAAATTCAACGTTCATGGAAGATACATGAGCATTCTGTCACTGAAGGGAGAAGGGAGGTCTGTTATTATAATTCCAGAGTTAGCTTTGAATGCAGGTTGGAAAGACATAGCAGCTAAGATAGAAAGATTCATACATCAGACCCCCAAAATGAATCCCACAGCCCCACCTAGAATCACTGTGGACAACTACTATTATGTCAAAGCAATCAAGGAGAGTAAATGGCAATCCAATACCCTTCGAGAGGTAAAGGTCAACATAAACAATGGAGATACCTCTGTTGTGGAACCGACAGGTAGCGAGGATTCTGGTTTACTAAAAAGATGCATTGTCGGGTTTTTTGGGAAAGAAATCAATGAGAGACCCACTTTAGCAGACATAAGGCGATGGGCTAGTGCGTCATGGAACAAAGCATATGGAGTAAACATGTATGAAATGACAGACAACATGTTTCTTTTTGAATTTCCAAACTAATTCATGGCAGAGCAGATTATGCAAGGAGAATGGAGTTGGAAAAAGTTCAAGCTTCATCTGGAATGGTGGAGTCATACTGCTGGATGCATTCCAAACTCACAAATCGAGGAAACATGCTGGATTAGAGCCATGGGGATTCCTTTACATCTATGGTCACAAAAGATCTTCAAAGAAATAGTAAATCTCTGTGGGGGATGGATAGCTACTGAAGAAGAAACTGATCTCAAATATCATCTTAAGTGGGCAAGAATTAAAATTGTTGGTGATGGCAGAAAGATTCCCAATGAGGTTGGGATTGAAAGAGACAGTATCAAATTTTTCATCCCAATCTGGGATGAAAGACAAACAAGATATGAGCTGAAGATGCAAGAAAACGAACAATGTTTTGAAATAGAGAGATATTTGAACAATCAAGTGGGGTGCACCATATTGCAAAACACTGATAAAGGAAAGGCAAGTGTGCAACTTACACAAGGTTCGAGTTCGATGAATCAGAGCAGTAAAGTGACAAACAACGAGCTGAAATCCTATGACTCCGACTTGGCTGCACAAGTCATTTTTAATGATCTCTCGTGTGAGTTTTCTGATGATATTAGGCTGAAGCCTTGTATTGAGGAAATGGGAGGACCTTCTTACCTGGGGGCAAAAGAGTCCACTCCAGGGGATCCAATCCCCAATGAAAACCTTGAAAGTATGCCAAAGGCAACACTTAACAGTTGCAGTCAGCCAGAAGGTGGAGCAGAGATAGCAAGACTGGAACAGAAGGCAGGGGAGCAGAGCATAAACACAAATATGGGGGAAGATCAAGTTGGAAGTGCTTTGGAACAACTAAAGCACTTTAGCTCTATCCAAGATTGGGAAATCGAGGAGGTGAATCCTATAGCAGTTCAGCAACACAATCCATTAATGGATAAAGACATGGATGCAACACTATGGGTCCATCAAAATATGATCAAATTGGGGAAAATGTTTGGAATAGATTTTCAAGGCCATGAAGAAGAAGCATTGGAGTTGTTAATGCAAATTGACAGTTGCAGACATGTTAGAAGGGTGGAGACAGAGTTGGAGGTGAAGAAACAAAGATTCAAAGGATCACTGGAATTAAAAGGTTTCACTTCGTTTGATGTCAAATTCAAGAGTGACGGGAAAAAGGAGTAGGGGAAGAGATCTATCAATCATTTCAATATGAAGATCAAAGTAATTTCCTGGAATGCAAGGGGATTAAACGACAAGAAAAAAAGGGAGATCATAGAAAGTCAAGTGCAGAACTGGAGGGCAGACATTATATGCATGCAAAAGACAAAAGTGGAGTGAGATATCAAGGAAATAGTCAGTCAAATATAGGGTGGTAGTTGGGTAAGGTATGCAAGATTAGAAGCTAGCGGCACGAGAGGGGGGATTTTGTTATTATGGGATTGCAGAGTATGGAAAGGGGAGGTGTTACAGACTGGTGCATACACTTTGACTTGCAAGTTCGAGGCTCTTTTACAGAATTTTCAATGTCACATAACAGGAGTGTATGCCCCAAATTGTAGAATAGAAAGGAAAATAGTATGGAGAGAAATTGGTGCAGTGACGGGAATGTTCAAGGAGGTCCAAAGAGATGGTGGAATTCTCGGATTTTATAGAAGATATGGAGTTGATAGATCTACGACTTGAAGGAGGCTACTATACTTGGTTCAAAGGGGACAATCATACAGCCGCTTCAAGAATTGATAGATTTCTCATTTCAGAAGAATGGGATGAAAGCTTCAGAAACATCAAGCAAACTATCCAACAAAGGTTGATTTCGGACCATTCACCTGTGGCTCTATACTGTGGTGCGTGGGAACAAGCTAAATCATACTTTAAGTTTGAAAATTGGTGGCTGAATGTGGAAGGTTTTGATGACAGAATTAGAGACTGGTGGACATCTTTTGAATTCTCAGGAAGACCAGATTACATTTTAGCTTGCAAGTTAAAAGCTCTCAAGGGCAAGCTAAAAGAATGGAGCAGAGTTTATGAAGGTAATTTGGGACTGCAAAAATCAAAATTGCTAAGTCAACTAGCAGGTTTTGAGACAACACAACAACTAAGAGCGCTGACA